ACTATATAATATTATAATAATTAGTTAATTAATAATAATAATAATAAAAATAACAAAAATATTTTACCTATATATATGTTTTGGACTTAATACTGCTTCACCTTCATTTAGTATACTAATTGCTAATATTATATGACTTTGCTTTCTACCAACATTTCTACCATCACCACCAATTTTTATATTAATTTTATCACCAGAATAGAGAATAATTGGATCAGAAGTGGTTAAAACTAGAACCAAACTATTAATAAAGATGTGATTGATCGATAAACTGCATTTTCAGTTTGATTATTAATGGTTATAATCTTGTCAAAACTCAAATTATCATTACTTTTTTTTACTTCTAAAGGTTGATCGATATTAAATAATAAGATTGGCAAGTATTGTTCCATTTGGTTATCGATTTTTTTATATCATTGTTCAATTAAATATTCACAAATTATATTTGGATCTATGGCTGCTAATTTCCAGTATTCATCGCGAGAAATTAATGCCTCATCACATACCCGAACAAGAGAAGTATAATGTTTTTTGTTGGTCTTTATTTTTAGTTAAATAATCGAGAGTTATAGCTTTATTTGCAATGTTAAGTTTTATTGATTCAAGATCTATAATCATTGTGCTTGAAGAATCAATAAATCGATGATTATGAAAAAGATCTACTATTTGAATATTTAAGTTTTTAGCTACTAGTGCAATTCGTTTGTTTTTTTGAGATTCTGACTCTAATTCTATATAAGAATGTTTACGATTAACAGGTGCCTTTATTCTTGCTTTATGCAGATGCTCGATATCAAAACCAAATAAAAATACTCCAAAAATATGTGTATTGGGTTTGTTACAAATATTCTATAATGAATTTTTTTTATTTATTTTTTTAAATTAAATGTATAAATATAACAATAATAAATTTAATTATTTTTAATATTTATCGTTAAAAATTTAATTCTAGCATTACTTGCTGAGATCATACTACTACTTGATATTATATCGCCATAAGGATTTACCCAACTAATCGTATAACTAATATTACCAGTTGGCTGATATTCAGTTTTGCATTTTACAGATAATCCTGATAAATTAGTTTTAATTTCATATTTATCAGGAATCTGATATGCAATGCTATTTTTTTTGGAGTAAATTTAGAGATAGATGGGTAATAGCCAAGTTTAATTACTTTGTAAGATTGCCACCAATTGTTATTACCTATCTTACATATTGCTATAATGTATAGAGGTTTATTGTAAAATATACATTTATCTTTATTGTTTGGTAATTTTTGTACTAAATATTATATACAGTATTACGAACATTATTAGTTTAATAAAAGACTATTTCTAATTGTTACCGGGGATATTAATATCCAGGGTGCTATATCTCAAAAAATTGACTAAGAAACAGGATCTGGCATACTAAGTAAAAATATTCGTAGCACCCAAAAACCTTGTGTAACCTAAATTTGAACTATTATATTTGCTCTATTTTGGCATAAAACTACACCCTAACTCTAAATTTTAATAAAAACTAATATATCTCAAAAACCAACTAAGAAACAGGGTCTAGTATACTAAGTAAAAATGCCCAGAACCCCCAAAATCTTGTGTAACTTAAAATTTGGACTATTATATTTGACCCCTATTTTGGCATTAAACTGCACTCTAACCTTAAATTTTAGCAAAAAACTATTTTTCATAATAAAATTGGGGGGTGGATATCAATATCTCCGGTGTCATACTCATTTTTACTTAATAAAATATATAAATATTTACAATTAAATATAGCTAACCTTGATTTTTCATATTCTTGTTTGACTTTTTAATTGACTTGATATAATTTAAATATATTTTTATAAATTATAAAAAAATTAAAATTTACTATCGCAATAAAAAAAAAATTACAAATAAACTTACATTTGTAAAAATGCCAGTCTTGTTCAAATCTTGTCTATTTTGTTTTAGTACTGGTATAGTTACATCCAAATCTTGCTTTAGTACTGGTATAGTTATGTTGTTTGATATACTCTGATCCATATTTACATAAAGTTGAGGTTCTCATTGAGCTTTTTTGGAAGATGTAGTATATTTATTAACAGCTTTGCTTATTTTTACTTTAGAGATAGCATTATTCTTACGAAAAGTCTCTGGTGTAACTGGAGGTTTAAAGATGAAAGATTATTGCACATTGGTAATACAATGATAATACTTATAAGTAATGACCAAATATGTGATATAAATTTATCTAACTGGCCAATCATTTGTATTACACATAATTAATGTGATCTTTGTTGTGATTATCATCCGCTTGCAAATTACTAAATAAGAAAAAAAAGCAGAGCAACCATCCAATCAAAATCTTTAATTTTATATCAAATTACTGTATTATCACATGAAGATTTACTTGTGTCAAATCTGCCTATATGAACAAAATTCTGCAGACACGTGATTTTAAACAAATCAGATTTTAGGATCAGGTGTAATATTGCACAATCAAAAAAATTCAAAACAACCGTTCATTTTGTCAAACATCACCTATAACTCAAAATTCTGTATAGATAACTGCCTTCCATGCATTTACAAAAAAATTCCTTGGGCGATTTTACTATTAGAACTACTCTAAAACAGACCCTAATCCAAACTAAATAAGCTTTAAAGAATTTTATCGGTAATCACATGACTGAAAAATTTTGTTGGCGATCCTGGGCAGGGACCCGTAAAAATTTTTTTGAGTAACAGGAAAAAATGTTTTGGCAATGCCTTAATATTGTTTTTTATTGCGATATCAAATTTAGTATAAATTATGTTGATCAAA